GGCCGCTCACACTGGCTGCTGGCTACACACGGTAGCCCATGGCAACCCACTGCAGCAGGGACTGCAGCCTACACCATCGCCAGCGACTCATGGCAGCCCAGCTCCAGGTTGAGCTGTTGTTCAGCATCTTAGCTGTAGAGGGCAGTGTCACTGGCCCTCATATATAGGATCCGAACCGGGCCCTCTGGTGTCCCAAGCAGCTCTTAATCAATGCGCCACTAGGCCGGCCCCCTGCAGACATTTTAAACATTATATGAATTCACAGAAGAAAATTAAGGAAATTCAACAAAATGAGGAAATTAAAGTCACTTAGGATCTTCCCATCTCGAGAGAACTCCCGGGATGTTCCTTTTCTCAGGTCTAGCACATCACTGTGCATATGTGGATGTGTAGACGTGTATGTACATACGTGTGCGCACACACATGCACACATGTAGATACCCAGGATTTCTTGTATCTGTTGTTCTCAAGTGTTTGAGGTAGGAGCAACCAGCAGTTTACTAGGTCCATCCTCCACGAGCCAAGGCCTCCTTTCCCAGGCCCCCTGTTTGTGGACATGGCCACGTCACAGGTCCCCACAGGGCAGCAGCAGCAACAGCGACTGCACTTGCAGGCCCCATCATGGCCTGTCTCAGGAGACGAGGTTTGAGGAGCGACCGTGGTGAAGTGTGGGAGAAACACATGCTCCGCCCCCTCTGCCTGGTGCCCCAGGGCAGCCTTGGGAGGGACACCCTGCGGAAAGCACCTGGGTCCCTGGGTGAAGGTGGAGGGGAGCCACCACGGGCCTGGCCTCCCCCCCGGACACTGTGTGTGAAAGGAACAAACCTTTCTCTTTGAGCTACTGCTGGGGGCAGGTGTGGGTGGAGTCTGTGACTGCCTCAGCTTAACTGACCCTAACTAATACACTATTTTTATTAGATACTGAGACGATACAAAATAATATTTATCAAAATTCATTTTAAAGATGCACTTTTAAAGCACCCAAATTTAAAAGGGGGAGGGATGGAATTTGTCATTAATTTTAAAGTCCCTTGTGGGTTGTAATAGATAGATGGATGGATGAATGGATGGAAGGATGGATGGATGGACAGAAGAATAGATGACAGATAGATGGATGATAGATAGATAGATAGATAGATAGATAGATAGATATTAGATAGATAGATAATAGATAGATAGCTGTATATTAGGTACAGATATATTGGGTTGTCGGAAAAGTCATGACGCACTTTTGCAATGAAAAACAGAAAAAATATGTCATGACTTTTCCGACAACCCAACAGATAGATTTCTAACCTTATTCAAAAGGTAAGACTATAAGTATTTTACCCCTCACTTATTTCACTCCCTAATGTATGTTAGAGACCTTTCCATGACCATTTCATCATAACATTGTTAGATGGAAGGTACTATAATTTATTTACTATTCCCCTATAGATGGACACTTAGCTTGTTTCCATTATTTTGCTGTTATAAACAGTGCTGCAATGACTATATTGTACATGCCTCAGGTTTATGTGTATAGATATTTCTGTAGAATGAATTCCCAGAAGTGGGGTGGCTGGGTCCCAGGGTAAATGTGCTGTAATTTTGATGACGACTGGAAAATTGCCTTCCTTGGGGTCCCGCCGTTGTGCACCTCCACCAGCAAGTGGGGCGTGAGCTTGTTTACCCACAAACTTGGTAACCAGGTGCATTGCTAACTTTTGCACTTTCACTGCTCTGGTATGTGTGGAATGGTCCCTTGGTATATTCGTACTTTGTGTTTCTTTTGTGAATGAAATTAGCAGATTTTCAGATGTTAAGGGCCATTTGTAATTATTTCCCGTGAACTCTCCATTCATGTTCTTTGCCATGTAGCTTTTGGGTTGTTCATCTTTTTCTTCTTTTCCCTGATTGGGTTTCTGGGCAACATACACACACACACACACACATGAGTAAATAGAGTTTGTAGCTCCTGTGCCCAGATCCCTCCCTTGGGGACCCAGGCACTCCTGCCTGAGTGGAGAGCGGCTGCTGATGGCTCACAGCTGAGTCCGTCTTCAGGCATTGTCCCCAAAGGATGTCACCTCACCAGCCTGTCGACTCCACCTGGGCCTTGGCCCACTCCTTCCCTGCGGTGGCGAGGCCACGGTGGGCCTCTGCCCTTTCTGCCCAACCTGACTCAGTGTGACATCTGCTGGGACTCTCCAAAACTTGAAATGGAAAAGACGAAAAGCGGTCTTGAAATTTATGCTCTCTGAGCACCAAGCCATTCCACCAGGCCACCAGGGACCCACTCGTGTCCGTCCTCTAGGTTTTGTTTTTAGATACAACCTATACATACAACCCTCCAAAGCCAAGCTGACCAGTGGGGCATCCCCCGTCTGGGAGTTGTACGTCACCATTTACAATCCTGGTTTTCCTGAGCCGACATCTTTGGAACTGTGCAGAGCGGGAAGCATATCTTGAGGGCCTCTGTCTCCCCAAACAGAGGATGATTTTGTCTGTCATCCGTCTTGTATCCTTCCCACTTCAGTGGCCTCTCGGGCCCTTTCCACATGTGCAGACACTGAAGTACTGACTCCTGAGGAATTCTTTAGAAGCTTAGCAGGGAGCATTTGGGAGCTAGGCTTCTGTGGGCAATGCCCCCCTCCCCCAACTCCTCCCCTCTCCTCCCCTCCATCTTTGTTCTCCCCTGACACCCACGGAGTCTGGGACCAGGTGCGGCCCAGGTTAGGACCAGGATGCTTGCTGGCTAAGGATACCGGGCAGGTGTGTAGCCAAGGGCGCATGCGTATGAGGCGGTGATAGGAGCACACAGAGGAGACATGAGCCAGACAAACAGTCAGCGAGTGTGAGCCCTCTGGAGAGGACAGCAGAATGGAGGGGTCTCCCCTGGTGCCTGGATACATGCCATCTCGGTGTTTTCCCCGTTGGTCCTCTAACAGATGCAGGCAGTGGGAATGGCCCCTTCCCGCAACGCTGGCCCACTCAGGTCACATGTGAGCGGCGCATGTCGCCTGCACACTCGGGCCTGGCCACCTAGAGGTGGGACCCGTGGACAGGCCTCTGGGGACGGCCTCTTGTCAGGAGGAACAGGAGCAGCAGGACAGGCTCTTTCCCACGGGTGGGAGAAGTGCAGTGGGACGGGAGTGGGCTGCCCCTGGGAGTCACGCCGGCCAGCAGGGCCGGGGGCCACAGCCCCGCCAGGACCAGGTCTTGTGCCCCGGCGGCCCTTCAGGGGACAAGCAGCTCAGTGGAAAGATTCAGATTGCAGGGTTCACATGCAAACAGCATGGTGTATACAGTGAGGGACAGCAGTAGATGCCGTAACCACTCTAAGCCTCGTTTTCCACTTGTGATGATGTGCCGGAGTAATGCCTGCTCCCCTGTGGCTTGGGGACAAGGACACCCTCGGCTACACCCAGAGCTCCTCAGACACTCCACATGAGTTTCTCTGCTCGGCTGTCCCCCCAGAACTTACCGCACCGCTGTTATTGCTAATACGCAGCCATATTGGTGGGGCTGCGTTTCGTGGTAGAAGCCAGGGCTGGCAGTGCCCCTCCTCGACGCCCCTCTTCTTGACCTGCCTCCCGCACAGGTGTGACCTCCCTTTGGCATTTGCCCCCTCAGCCCTGTGTAGGAGCAAGGTGCCACCAGGTCCTCGCCCCTGTGAGGGCATAATGTCCCTAAGGGCAGGTCCTTGTCCTCCTCTGCTTTGAACCTGTGCCCTGGGACGTGAATACCCGTGTGACAGACTTGAAAATGCCAGCTTTTGATCATGGAGGTGGTATTTGTACTGTAACTGTTAGTTCCCCTAAAGCAGCCCTGTCGTGGCCACCACTCCATCCCCATGCCCAAGGCCATCCCCCATCACTGCTGCTGCTAACAGTAGCCACTTCCCCTGCCTACTGTCATTTGCAGAAACCCCATGAGCCCTGCTGTCTTTTTGTGGGGTGATCCAGGTGCTTTAATTTGCTTTTATTATCCACTGAGATGGCGAGAAGATGCTTCTGTCAGGTTTTTGTTAGCTGACGGTGGAGGAAAAATATGATTAAATTGTAAATGACCGTGTGATATAATTTAAATATGATGATCGATAGTATCAAGTCTGCCCTAGAAAAAAAGTAGAAAGACCGAAGGAAGATGTTCAGATACTATTTTATACATTCAAAGCCTCAGTCTACTGTGTGCAAAACATAATTCAGCATATAATTTGTCAATATGATTAATCCCTGCAATTCTCAGCTAACCGGGAGACGGTAAGATTGTATTTACTCTTTCAAGTGAAAGCTGGGCATTTAATTCTTTGTCTTTAAAAAGTGCATGATGCCTAATTGAGTGTGATGCCATGTGTGGTGTCTGCTCCCTTCCCTTAAAAGTCCCCCAACCCCCAATCAGGAATCAGAGCCCCCATTCTGAGCTCCAGCCCCCACAGAGCTCCCCTAGTGCTGTGAAGAGCCTGCTCCAACTTTCAGCGCCCATCCGAGCGTTGGAGGGGCCCTGCTGAGCACTCGCCCGGGTCCTGCCTGGCACCTCACCCCGTGCGGTGCCCAAGCTCTGAAGCCTGACTCCTGCTAAGGCTGTCGCACAGAGGACCCCCACCGAGTGTCTGCTTGTCCCATATTAAGCTCAAAAGAACAGCCCCCAGGACGTTTGGGAATGCTTCTTATTCATTTTTCTACTGTACATTTTGCTCCCCTCTGTGAGCTCTACACCTTGCTTTTTGACGGGGCTATGGGAATCAGAGTGTCATGTTTTGCAGTGTGTGCGTGTGAACCTAAAGGCTATGAGACTGGAGGTGTCACATATCGGGTGGACACCCATTGTGGGTGTGAGATTCTACTTTCTCGGAGATTACACCTAAAGGCATGGTATCCCTTTGAAAACAAGAACCACTGCTGGAAAGTTCCTTTGCTGCCATGCTAATGAGAAACTCGTCTTTGCAGGGCTGTTTCCTGCAATGAGACAGTCATCTGTGCCTTAACGCTGTAATTGCTATCATCTCTTGTCCACAGGCAAAAACTGGGACCTGACAGCCGCCCTGAGTGACTATGAGCAACTCCGACAGGTGCACACAGCCAACCTGCCACATGTGTTCAACGAAGGCAGATGTCCCAAGCAGCCAGAGCGAGAGCCGCCCCAGCCTGGACAGAAGGCGGAGCGGTCCTGCCTGCAGAGGCAGGACGACATTGCCCAAGGTACCAGCTGAGGCACCAGCGCCGTGGTTTGCAGCAGGGGTGGGGCTGGGGGATGCAAGGAGGGGTGAGGTCATCACCCCCCAGCTGCAAGCAAGTCATGTTCTCGGTGCCTCGTGCCTCATACAAGCTGGACCATCCTTGCAGCTCCCATCCATATGTCAGAAAAGCAGGAGAGGGAATCCGGTTCTCCAGGACCCCGGGCGCTTGTAGGCCAGCATACTCGTATGCCTCCTGCAGTCCTGGTTTTTCAGGCCAAGCGTCCCCAGTTCCTTCCACTCTTTCTCAAGTAGCATAGTCTCCACATCTATTCAGCACTGATAGTCATCGTACCATGAGCTCCATTTGCTCTTTGCTTTTTCTTAATGATAGACGTAAGATATACTTACTGTAAAAAGGAAACAATCCAAAGATATGTACAGAAAACAGTTTCCTTCTCCACACCTCCCAAACCTCGTGGAAATACTAACCAGCAATTGTGTCCTGGTCGGCTCCCTCTCCTCTCGCTAAACTTGTTCAAAATGCATACACATCGGAGTCAAATGCACATAACACTTTGCAGATTGCTTGTTTCATTGACCAAAAATCATGAGCATATTCTAGTATTTTATTCCACAGCGAACAATAATTTTAAAACCACACTTGTAGTGATGCTGATTCTGGTTTTTTCTTGGGTTTTGGTGTTGTGTGTTTGGTTTTGACACTACAAGCAATGCTGAAATAGCCTTCTACCTGTGGTCTTACTCGTGCTTTATTTCTGTAGGTTAGCATTCCCAAAGTGGATTTACTGGGCCGACACGTGTGCTTTTTATCTAATAACTTCAGGACTTCTTTCCCAGACACATTTCTGCTCGCCATCTGTGAAGCTGGGGGTTTCCCGTTATTCTTGCCAGGACTGGATGTGCTCATGATGATTTCATGTTGTTTTTCTACTCTGAAGGGTGAAAAAATTAACTTTCATCCTGTCGTTTGATTTTCAGCCACTTGAATGACCCCCTTCTGTAACGTGCCTGTTCACATACTTTGCCCATTTTTCTATTGTTTTGTTTGCATTTTTCTTAGCGATTTGTAGCATTCTTTGTAATTAAGACTAAAACATATGTTTTGTATATATGCATACGAAGGTCAGACAATTAAGTTCGCAAACTTTCCACTGTATAAGTGCATGGTGGAAAGTTCGCAAACTTAATTGTCCGACCTTTCATATGTGTACCTCCCACTTTATGATTTTGTTTGCATTACTATGCATTCATGGCTGGTAGGTGTTCTCTCTCACTTTAGAAGGTCTCCTGACACACAGAATTACTGGCGTATTTTCCCATATTTGTTTTTAAATTTTGTCCTTAGCACTTTTAATTGATTTGAAAGTTTTATAAGTAACAGCTCAGGATCTAGTTTTGCTTTTTCTGGATTGAGAGTGAGTTATGCTCGCACGTTTACTGAATAAAGCTTCCTTTTCCCACTGAACTAAAATGCCAATTTTGTCATACATTAAATTCCCAAATATATCTGGACCTGTTTCTATACTCTTCTGTCCATCCATGTAACTTAACTGAAGTAGTCTCACATTGTATTATATTTCTCTCTGCCAACTCCTTTATTGTTATTCTTTTCCAAAAATGTTTCACTATTTTTCGATATTTATTCTGCCATATAAGCCTTAAAATGAGAGTTCCGATTGGAATTGGATTGGATTTTTATTTTATTTTAGGAATAATTGGCATATTGTAATATTGTGTTCCCATCCAAGATTTGTTCAGATTCCGTTAAGACTACAGGTACAGAGAAAAGCAACTTATTTTTTGCTTATTTACCTTTAATCTAATCATTACATAAATTTATTAATAATACCTTATTAATTCTCTTAATACTAATTATTCTAATGTCTTGGATTTTCTAAATGTACAATCATAGCACCTGAAATAATTGAATATTCTTCTTAATATTTACATACTAACGCCATTCCTCTCATTTTGCATTATGTCAGCCCTTCAGAATGGTTGTGAATGAATGTTTTCTTTGTTTCTCTATGCTCAGCCTTATTATTCCAGCTGTATTGAAATTTGTATCTTGGATTTTTTTTTTTTAATGCTTACTCTTGTCTAGAGGAGCTACAATTGAGTTCGGAATTTTAATGCACATTATCTGTTTCTTCTCTTAGTTTCATCGTTTTCCACTGTGTTTTGAGCTATATTGTTAGGTGCCTATGTGTTCCTAATTGTTAGGTCATCTTGCTCTACTGTTTGGTTTCTTTTTAAACCAATAGAGATAGAGTGTCTCTTTGTCCCATATAATGTGTTTTATCTTTAAATCTCTTTTAATTGTCATTAAACCTCTACCATGCCCTTCTGTTGGTTCATATTTGCCTGGAATACCATTTTTTCAACTGTGATTTTCAACCTTATTTTATGTTTTTATCAAGTATCAAATTTGATACTTGTATGGAATTTATCATCAGATATTATTTTATTATCAAAGGGTCTCTTGTTTCAAGCAGTGAATTTAATCCATTTATTTTATTACAATTATCATTATATCTGTGCTTTTTTATGTTATGTGTTTTATTTGTCATGCTTCTTTGACTGTATTTCTCTGCTTTCCTATATTTTCTGGCTAATTAAATTTTTCCACTGGTTTGAAAGTTATACATTCTACTTTTACTCATCTTATAGTTACCCCTATTCTATTAAAACCTATATTTCAGTTTTCTTCCTATTATTTTAAAAAACTTATTAACAACTATATCTTAGTATGTTTTCATCTTGTCTCTTCCTGCCTCAACTTGCCCTCAATCATAGTCAGGTTCTTTTTGTTGTTTGTGTAAAGAACAATTAACTTCTTTATTTATTCACATTTATCTTTTTCTGAAAGACTATTTTCTAAAAGAATTTTGCATGATCAGTCTCCTAAGGCCTTGAGTGCCTAAAGATGTTTACATGAAACGCTTAGATTTTTGTTTCATGAAATAAGAATTCTAGGTCCAAATGATTTTCCTTGAATGCTTTAAGACCATACCACCATTATCTTCTTGCATCTCATCTTCACGTCTTGTAAGAGGCTTCCTTAACCTAATCTTCCAACATCCTAACTCATTCTTCACTTGATTCCACTCTGTTCATCAGCATTCACATTTTTCATTCCAAATTAGCTCTTTGTCCCTATTATTGTTTCATTTTCTAATTATCTCTTTGAACATATTTACGAGGCTTATTTTTAAATCTTGCCCTCCTGCTCCATTTCTTCTGCTTCTCTTGGTACAGGTACTTCGTGGACCTTCTGTAACAGTGCTCGAATGCCTCGGATGTTTCCTAAACATCCTTGCAGTTATCAGCCATCTTAGCTCGTAATATGCATCAGGGGAAAGGGACAAAGGCATGCCCCACGTTTGGGCTCCTGCAAATGGAAGTGTGGGGGGAAGTGCACTCATGTTGGAAAGCTAAAAATGCTTTAATGTGGGCTCAAAATATTCCCCACTTGCTCCTTTCCTCACAGCTGGCTTTGCCCTTGAGTGGACCTTCCATCACCCCTGTTTTTTCAATTGTTCATTTCCAGGGGCTGCCACCCTCTGTTGTAAATGCTAGGCTCACAGGGCATGTTGGAGAGAGGAGAGAAGGCTCAGGGCCTGGCAGCCACCTGTTCTCATGGTTACTGGTGCCCAGTCCCAGCTGTCCTCCAGCCTAGCCCTGATGTTCCCCCAGCTGGCGCAGGCCAGCACTGTTGCTTGCTGCCACGCTGTGGTGGTGGCGGTGAGATATAGGTGGTGACCTGCCCATACCCAGGGCTATGCCGGGGAGAGGACACCCAGCCCAGCCCCTATCCGTGGAACTTAGCCCTCTCCCACTCCTCCTGTGGACCTCCAGGGCGGGTTAGGAAGAGGACATGAGGCTCTGCCACTGTCTTGTCCATCTTTCTGAATTGTTCTCAGGTTCTCCTTCATTTCTGCTATTGGATCTGACTCTGGAGGAAACACCTCTCGCAGCCTTTCAGTTCGCCCTTCCCCTCCAGGCTGTCATGACATGATTCCTTCAGCATCACACAGCTGAGGCTCCCGGCCTCACTCGTACACTGGCAATCCAAACATTTGACAACATGGCAGTTCCTCCTCTTTTGGACCGGCAGTAAAAAAAACAACCCATTATCTGATCCTCCCACTGAGGGAGCGAGAAAGATCCTCCTCTCTGCTTCCAGAGGTCGGTACAGTCAGGGCCTTATGACTGTAGCTGACACTTGCTGCTACATGACTTTCTTCCGATATTATTTAAGGGAAAAAACCCCAGAAGCCTGTCATAGCATAATTCCATTAATTGTATTTTTAATAAAATAGAAATTGTAGTTTCTTAATAATATATATATATATAAAATCTCATTTAAATGAGTTCTTCCTGAAATCATAGCCGACTAAAATGGAAAATGAAGTTCTCCATATTCTAAATCAAGGGTCAGCAAACAATGACCCATGAGCCAAATCTGGCCACTGCCTGTTTTTTTAAATAAAGTTTTATTGGAACACCGTCACACCCGTTGTTCATGCATTATCAATGGCTGCTTTAGTGCTACAAAGAGAGAGCTGAGTAGCTGTGACTGAGATTGTATGGCCCTCAAAGTCCAAAATATGTTTATCTGCCTCTTTAAGAAAAGATTTGACCACCTCTTTGAAATGTACCCAGGGCTTGTTTTAATCAGATGTGGAAAGACACTCAGACACGGAAATGATGGTCACGAAGAAAGACATTTTTATACTCATGGTTCCCTAGAAACAGGAGGCATGCTATGCCACGCAGGGCCACACGAGGAAGCACCAGGCCGGTCAGGAGGCAGGAGGGGTGAGGGGGCATGTGGGCACAAGCCTCCATTGTGGTTTCTGTGAGAAAGGCCAGTTTGAATAATTTCAGCAGGCTCTCTGGGGTGTAGGGGCTGTCCCTAGTTCTCTGGTTCCTGGCCCTGGGGTAATTACGACAGGAATGCTGCCAACTGGAGTGTGAGGACCAGCTAGAGGAGGTGGTTCAGAGTTTGGGCTCTGAATTGGTTGGTATGTGTAGAAAAGGTGAGCTCACGAGTGAGTCATTTGATGTCTCTAAGAATCGCCTTAGTGGGGAGAGCCTCTCCCCGGTCAGGGAGGCCCCAGAGGCCAGAGCGGAGAGAATCCTGAAAATATAGTTAATGCACCTCCTTTGGCCTAAATCAGAGATGCTTGAGTTAGCTGTGTCAGTGGTTAGGAAATCTGTACATTCTCGCTCTCTTTTTTTAAAATCTCTATATTTCTCTGGGACATAACTTTGAACATGGCATTTCCTGTAAAAAAGAAATTCATCTATGCTTCCAAAAGAAGGATCACTAAATTCATGTTTAAACAGTGTGTGCATGTGTAATTCTCATGCATGCGTACATGAGATTACATATGTGCATTAAATGGAGGTGGTGGTTGGGAAGTGTCAGAATCAGGAGCACATATTTCTCACTATATGATCTTTAAAATTTACTTTTAGTTCCAAAAGACTTTTCCTTCAGACTCCAAATATTTCATATTTGGAACTACTTGACAGCATCCTGTTACATACGAATTGCATTGTTTCTGAGGTCCTGGTAGCATCTCATCAGTGGGCGAACAGATGCTGACTGATAAGCCAAGGAGGAGCATGGGTAACCCTGCCCAGCAGGCCCCCACTGTTCAGAGAAGCAGCAAGTATCTACCCAGTGGGTGTGGGTTCACACAGCACCTCGGGTGTTAGTTAGAGAACACCTAATGTCCATCCCCATCGGGTCCCCAAGGATGGATGGGGCAGTTCCTACTTTCCCAGATACAAAAAAGGTAGTTTGCAGCAAGAGGTGTGACCTTGCATGGCTTGTAAGAGGCGGAAGGACATGGGGTCTCCTTGGCTCCTGCTCAAGGACTTGGACCAAGCACAGGAAGCAACGGGGCCATCCCCCGGTGACAGCCCAGCCAGCCCCACGCGCTCGTTTCTCTTCTTTCTCGTGGCCTATGGGGTTTGACTTCTCTTCTCACCTTTCCTCAAAATACAAAATAACTTAATCATCTTGGTCTCAGAATGACATCGAAGGTGAATCGAAACTATCCATTTTGAAATACTGTGTCTCTGCGACGTGCCCTTCGTTTTAATGCACAAACACTCGAGGCCTTTGAGAATTAACTTTGAATTTAAAACTAACCTACCCCGGGATCAAAAGCCCCTTATTTTGAGTTTACTGTAACAAAGTTATTTTAATGATATTTCTGCCCACTGCTCTTACAAGTAGGAAAATTAAAGGGTGTCATTCTGAAATGAAGTGGGTGTCCTGATGGCCCAGGGTTCCGACAACACTCATTCAAACACGAGTTTGAATTTTGTTTTCCTGGGCGAAATAAAAGAGGACTATTGCCTTGCTAAAAGAATTCACCATTATTACAAATATTGACCATACAAAAAGAAAACCTATTCCTGACTCATGTACTTAAGATTTCTTGTGCCACGGTCAGTGTTAGCTGGTAAGCACAGGGCTTAAAAAAACAAGCCCGCTCTTACCGCGCAGAGAGAGCACACACGCCGACTTTCTGCCGAGATCACATGATCAGCTTCCTAACAAGGCAACATGTTGTCATCAGAGAAATTTGACACCGCGTTTCCCATTCCTGGTTGGAAAGCCCAGGCAGGAGGCCAGAGCAGATGAGCAGTTTTGATTGCTGGGGCAATAGAAAGCCCAGTCAGAAGACAAACAGATAAGATGGCTTAATGTTGTATTTTGGCATCTTCCTGTGGGATGTGTTTACAGACTAACTTTCGTAAAGCATCCTATTGTAAGATCCACGCCACAGTGGGAAAACCCAAATCAATTGCTTCCTGCTTTAAGTCCATAGATGCATAAAAGTCAAGGCCGTCTCCCTTGTAGCATTTCGAGCTGAGAGAGGGCCGCCCTGCTGTATCGAGTTAGATATGACTTAAGACTCACAAAGCAGGACGTGACCTCTAACGATGCTGACATGTACTTGTGCAGTGGACTTACAGTTGCCTCTTTGTAAACGTTTTGATGATCAGAGTTCAGCATCATGTGCCAGGTGGTGGTAATGATAGCCCAGCAGCCGAAAGCCTGCAGGAAAAGACCACGGGACAGAAGGGCTGGTGGGAAGGATGTGGGTATGCAGGCGTATGAGTGTGTGTGCACGTGTGCATGCCTGTGGTATGAGTGAGTGCACATGTGTGTACACGTGTGTATACACATGTGTGTGTCGTGTGTTGTGTGTGCGTTGTATGAGTACCATGTGCATGCTGTATACACACGTGTGCATGCACACTCATGAAGCACACCCACGCAGCTCTTGTGGTCCTCTCCCCCCTGCAGAAAAGCGTCTTTCCCGGGGGATCTCCCACGCCAGCTCTGCCATTGTCTCCCTGGCACGTTCGCACGTGGCGAGTGACTGCAGCACCGAGCAGTTCCCCCTGGAGATGCCCATCTACACGTTCCAGTTGCCGGATCTGAGCGTGTACAGTGAGGACTTCAGGAGCTTCATTGAGCGGGACCTGATCGAGCAGGCGACCATGGTGGCCTTGGAGCAGGCAGGTGAGTGGCTCCTCCCAACAGGCCATGTCCCTGAGGCCCAGGGAACATATGAGGCTGCTGTCACTTATATCAGAGAGCGACATGGCTATGTGGTGTCCAACTCAGGCATTTTCAGTTATGACTCGGTGTGCTCACAGACCCCTGCTCTAGAGAGGGGCTCTGCTCAGCCCAGTGTTGGCCGGACACAGAGGCCAATGAGGGCAGTGCTGAGATTGCTCGAATTTTCCCTTTGATCCTAAGTCCACCCTGCAGGCCAGTCCCTCCCAAAGACAACTCTGCTGCTTTGCCTTGCTTCTCCTTTTCCCCATCCAACTCCCCCAAGGGCGTCAAACAAAAGCTAAGAAGAACCATGAGCTTTGAGAAAAATCGGGGACCTGCCACTTCCTGTGGATGTGGGCAAGTCATGTAGCTACCCGGGCCTCAGTTTCCCCATCTGCAGAGCCGGGAGGCAGGGTACAGGCCTAGTGGAGCTCTGGTGGTAAGTGATCCGCGCCTCCCGTAGCCACCAGCCTCCTGCCCACCCCGCCTTGCCCACCTGCCGGCTGAGGACACAGTAAGCCTGACGTCAGCCTCCTTCTTCTCCTGGGTGTTTCTTCTGACCCCACTAAGGAAGCGGCTCAGGGAGTGAGCCAAACTCTCTTCTTCGGGGTTCTGAAGGAGAAATTAGTTCCAAACAAATCTAAAACAGACGTGGGTTCATTCCGACACAGAGCAAGCATCAGTCTCTTATTGTCATGCACATGGTCAATCTTTGCAAAATCACACCCTGGGGCTTCTCAGATGCGTCGTGGGGGAACCCCTCCCGAGGTGGCCCCGCGGAGGCGTGGCTGGGCTGTCAGTGTATATGCAGCGTGGCCCCACACAGTCAGGGCTGGGAAGCAAGGCTGTCCCGTTCTGACTGAGCCATCAGCCTGCTGATTCTGTCCGTTGTGCAGTGGGGTCCCCATTGCCAAAGGTCTGGCGCGTGGAGGTGCTCCCGTGTGAGACGTCCCAGGAGAGCAGGGTGGCCTCTCTCCCCTCAGGCCTGCAGCCAGCAGGAACGGGGCTTGGATTCGCTCTTGGCCGGCACACAGCTAAAATTGCCCAGCACTACTGAGCAGTGCAGAAGACCAAAGAAGGGGATCTACAGGTGGGTGTGATCTTGATCTTGCTGGGTAGGCCAGTCATTTCCTACCAATTCTGCTAGGAAAAATGGGTGACACACCAAAACTAGTGCGACGAGCGGGTTCCATGAAGGGGCTGCTGGCCAAGGAATGGGCAAGGCGTGAGGACACCAGCATGGGAGTGTCGTGCCTGAGCTGGCCCCACGGGGACATGGTCACCGTGGGCCTGGCAAAGGGGCAAAGGATGGGAGATAGGGGGTGTGGCTATGGGGAGAGAGAAGATGCTGGAGAAACAAATAGTCTGAGCACAGTCTTCCCACGGTCCAGGCTCTGAGCAGTGCAGACCTTTGTGGAGCTCGGACCTGATGGTTGCTAACAGCACCGATAATCGCTGCACTTTCCTTTGAAGCCAGAGTCCTGATAAAGGCAGAGGCCACCATGGTGGCCTTCTCCGCCAGCCCCACCCTGCTCATGAAAATCCTTTACTCCCTTTGAATGTGTGTTCTGTTGTTTCTGCCATATGTCGCATACGAATTTTTACCACTTACATCTTACCTTCCGGACTCATATTTGCAACCATCCAGTCTTTGAAAACACCTGTTAAGAAGCTGAATTTACTGAGTCAAGATGCTAAATTCACCAACAGCTCATTGTTTGTCACATGCCAGGAGGTTGGTGAAAAGGGACAGGAGGCCCCCTCCCAGCGCTGGGGGAGGTCCTGTCACTGCTGCCGGAAGCTTTGGGGGAGCTGGCCGGCCACCCTGTCCTCAGGAGCCCACTCCTGGTGCAGTGACAGCCCGGTCACCAGGGTTTCCTGCCGGGACAAGGAAATGAGGAGCTGAGAAATAGTGAAGGAATACAGGAAAAAACGTGCACTCATTTCCTCAGCACCAAGCCCACCGTCCATGGGATGTCTGAACTTTGCTCTCCTCGCCATCAAGCAGATGAGAGGGGGCCTAGACCAGACCATCTTTCGGGCCCTTTCTGTGCCCACACTCCGGAGGGACGCCGGCTGGAGCCAGGCCAGTCCCACTCAGCCCCCATCCCGTCTGGTGAGGAGCCCAGCCCGTTGGGAGGTGGTCTTGTTTCCTCCTGCCAGACTGTGCCCCTCAGGCCGGGCTCTTACTCCATAGGGACAGCAATGTGGTCAAGCTGGTCAGTGTAACCTCCTCCTTCTGGTAACTTAGTGCTGAGGATCATGATAAATAAACTACTGTTTATTTATGTGCCGTGTGATTGACGGTATCCATAGGAGATGGAAATAGAGATGTCTGAAAAATATTTAGTGGAGAAAACACCCACTTGTTTAAGGGATACTTCTAGCTGTGTTTGGAAGGAAATACCTCTTCATGGGGCTTTGGGCTGGGGGACTGCCCCTGCCCTTGGGACCCAGGTTCATATGATCCCAAAAGTCAGCAAAAAGTGTCCTTCCTGCAGAGAGTGTGGCCCGCGGTCCAGCCGTCCATCATGGGCCTTTGCTCTGCCCTCTCAGCGCCCAGCACAGCGGGGGCGTCCCGGGGGGCTGCCGGCTTCCCCAGGCATGTGGGAAATCCTATCTTTTTTGGGCATCTGTGTTGAGTGGGGTGCTAGTTTTCACCTCCCACAGAACCCACATATGAGGGAGCACCATTCTCCTCAAGTCTTAAAATCCAGGAGGTTACAACGAACTCCCATCCATGACAGTCTGGTGGCAACAGGGGGCCAGAGCTGCAGGACAGACAACCGCCAACCTCCTGAGAGAGACCAATCCTTTATTGGTCTGCCTGCCGTGGAGAATACAAGTTCATGATTTCTCCATCAGGTCATCCTGCTGTGTTCATGTGTGCGAAGGTTCAGAGATCGCGGGTCTGGAGGTTTGAAAAGTTATACCTGGTGCCCCGTCTGGAAGTCCACACGGTGTGGGGAGACAGTGCACTGAGCTTCTGCAAGTTCATGGTCACAGGGCAGAGGCAGACTTGTCACAGGGCAGAGGCAGACATGGTCACAGTCACTGCATCCACGGGAGACTGAAATGTAGGTGTCACAAAACACTTAGGGACATCTCTGAGCTGTGCTGTTGAGTCTTGTTCCCTGGGAGGATAATCGGGTTGGGACGAATCTGCCAGGAGGTTCTGAAGGCTTTGGGGTTCAGCCTGACCCGACTGAGTCCCAGGTCAGCTGGGAGGACTCGGCCAAGCGACTTGGCCCTCCCGAGCCTCGATTTCTTTCATCTTCATGTCAGAGCTGTGGGACAGCTGCGAAGACAAAGTCACCCAGTGCACACCTTTATCTTTGGGTGAAGAGAAGTCACTGGGGGCCAGATCAGGTGAGTAGGGAAGGTGTTCCAATACAGGTATTTGTTTACTGGCTAAAAACTCCCTCACAGTCAGTGCCGTGTGAGCTGGTGCATTGTTGTGATGCAAGAGCCATGAATTGTTGGCGAAAAGTTCAGGTCGTCTAACTTTTTCACGCAGCCTTTTCAGCACTTCCAAATAGTAAACTGGGTTCACTGTTTGTCCAGTTGGTACAAATTCATAATGAACAATCCCTGTGATGTCAAAAAAGGTTAGCGACATTGTTTCAACAAGTTCACAAACTTAATTGTCAGACCTTGTAGACCCCTGAAGGAGGGGCAGGTTTGGGGGGCGTGTTCCTGGGAGGCCAGAAACAGGGGCAGAGTCTGAAATCCCAGTGTCACTTGTGACTTGCTGTCCAGAAGAACATGTGAGCCTGGAGTTCAGGAGAGGCCTGGGCTCAGGATGTAATGTGGGAGTTTGCAGTGGGAGATGACACTTGTGGGAGGGGCTGAGGTCACAGCTCGGGAATGGTGGGGACCAGTTGGCTGAGGGAGTCTGGAACATGGACAGGCCCGGAGCAAAGCATCACAGGCCCATGGGAGGGACTTACAGAAAGTCGTGTGAGGCACAGTGATGCCCGAAGAAGGGGGATCCGTGCCCCTGGGGGAGTGGGTTCCCTCCAGAAGGGCGGTGATGTTACAAAGAATCACAGGGTCACGTTTAGGGCAAGAAAGCACTCCTCTTTCCCATAGAGAATTGTCAAATGTTGTCTTAGTGGGTGATGAGTGAAATGACATCTTATTTTAAACTGTGTGGTAACCATCTGTTACAAAGCTCCCGTCAAGTGGTCCCATTATCATGTATGAATCAGAGGACTGTTGCTTGGAAAAGACAGAATAAGTGACTAACAGCTCCGCTCCCATAATGCCACCAGCCTCCCTTGATGGGGTTCACCTGATTTTCTTCTTTGCAAGAGCTCATACTGCCCATGCGAAGAATGCCTTTGTCTCCAGCATCCCGTCCTGGGTCCAGCTGGACATGTTAGAATAGCCCTGGGCCCTTTTTGGTTCTCCAAAGGCTGTAAAGTGCTGGCACAAAGCAGAGTGGGGTCATCAGCCCAGGTGGACATGCCTGGTTACAGCCCCAGGAATATTTGCAACTGGGGAGTCATGACTTCTGGAAGCCCAGCTAAATCCAGCCACTAAGCCTTCCCTGACATCCCCCCAGCCACGTAATGAAGTTTTGTCATGATTTGATTACCTTCAAAGTAGGACTGAATGTGTGGCCTGGACTGAGATTTAGAAAGTGATAAATTTCCCATAAGAAATGCAAATGAAGGGCCAGCCGAGTGGCGCGATGGTTAAGAACTCGCTTGGGATGCCAGAGGGCCCCAGTTCAGATCCCACATATGAGGGCCAGTGACACTGCCCTCCACAGCTAAGATGCTGAACAACAGCTCAACCTGGAGCTG